GCAGTACAAATTTACTGCCGTCCTTGCCCTTAGGAATGACAGCCTGATTTGGTTCTGCCTGTAAAGTCTCGTCACGGGGTGAAAAAGGAAGGCAGAATAAATCACTCTTACAATTAGATAGCTCACTAAGCTTTTCCAATAGTTTCCTCTCCTAGAAGACATATTATCTTCATATCCTATCAGGCTCTCCCTTGCCTGCAAGTTATCTTTATGGAGTAGGGAGACTAATGGATTCTGTGGCTTGTGTTGCAGTCCCTGCTCAACTGTTACCCATGCAAGCACCCTGGAAAGAGCAAGCAGCACAGTCTGGATGAGCAGACTCTAAAATATTCCTACAGAAGAATAGGATACAAAACCTCAGGCTGAGCTGAGAGACTCAGTTCCAGTAGGGTTTTGATAAAGCTGAACATTTGTGACACAGCAGTGGTAATCTTCTATCACAGCCTGATTCTCAGAGTGTTAGTCACTCCTAATAAAGCACTGAGAAATGAAGGAAGGCAGGCAAATAAAACTAAAATGAGCTACTGAACACAGGGGCTTGGAACACAAGATGGGAAACAATTGCTCCTGTTGCAATGACAATACTTTTAATTATATATAGTCAATGAAAAATAAACTATTAGAGAGAGAATAAAATACTTCCAATTAATGCAAGTAATGTAATGTTCAAACTTAAATGAAGAATTTTTCTCTTGGGGGTTTTGCTGTACTATTTTATTTAGCCTAATGTAATTTAAATTATAAACAGAATGGTTTTGTAAGCCCCCAGAGAAATGTACTTTATTTATAATGTATTTCCTTTGAAGTGGTTATGGAAATCATGCTCTTCCTGAAGTTTGTATTTCACATACCACCTACAGCTACAAGCTACTCAGTCTTCACAAGTTAAATATGATCTGTCTGGTGAAGTGTTTCACAAAAAAACCTGAGATTTTTCTTAAATGCCAGAGGAAATAAAAATTTGTAATTCTGCCAAGTAATAGTCTTCTCTTCAAAAAAAGTTATTGAAAGATCTTTGTTGATAAAAGTTATGTTTTTTTCAGAGGGAACGGAACTCAGACATAGTCACTTCACTTGAGTTTTTAATGCACATGATGAAAGAGTAATTGTTTATGCTATACTCTAGAGAAAGTTTCAGCTGGGAAAAATTATATTTTGTATACTTAATTTTAAACACATAAATATTTCCATCTTTCATTTAAATAAAAAATCCTTATAAATTTAATTGTACTACAAAGGGCAGGAGGAAAATTACAAATGCCTAGTTTGTGTCACCTTTTATCCCCCAAGTAATAAAGTTATATATTTACACATAAATAAGCAGCTATGAATGAATAAACGGAGCCTCAGTCTGTGTGCTCTCCCCACCATCAATAGCTACTGCATCAGGTAGGTGAAATAACTAGAAACAAAGAGGAAATTGTCTCTAGAAAATTATTTTTGGCCATAGTTCCTCTTTATAAAGCACAATAGTATCTTACTCTCATGGATGAACTGCTAGCTTAACATGCCAGCACAGACATACAACAGTCTGAGCTGTGATGCTTCTCCTGAAATAACATCATTCTAAGTCACTTCAAAGGGAAAAGACAATTAAACACTGCAACTGCTTACAGCGTGATTGCATGACAGCCAGCCACAGATTGCATGTACTTTGTCAAACTCCTCTTCTGCTCTAACCTACTACCAAAGTGGATAAATAAATAACTAGACAAATAAATTAAAATACAAGTTTTCGTTAGTCTTGGATTAGGAGTTTGAATAATTTTTCAAGGGGTAATATATAGGAGAAAATGTTTCTTTTCAATCACTTTGCAAAATAGACTTCAGTGCTCTGGTGTCAATTTCTGACTGAGTTGGTAGATTTTATCAATATCAAAAAATTTCAGGCAGATATTTAAATCCATGAAAACATTTACAATCAAATCTATGAACAAATATGAATTAATTTTTACTGTTGTGGTAATGAGTGATGCAGAGACCCCAGGCAGGTGCAAAGGAGTGCTTTTTATTGCCAAAAACCTGGCCTTTTGAAGAAGTTAGCAGGTTATCAGTTCACACAGTTTGAAGGCTCAAGCCCAAGTGAGCCAGGCACCATACAGCACGATGTGGACATGCAGCAGTCACACAGCACATCTCTCACTCCTATCCCAGCTGAGTCCATCTCTCTGTACTCCTATTCCAGCTGAGTTACTCTCTCATAGCTCCTCTCTACTTAGCCTAAGCAACAGGCTGGAGCTATGGTTCAAGGCCTTTCCTTTATAAAGCCTTACCTACTGGTGACGTTTTAAAAATTGGGGTTTTTAAAATAATCTTTCTCCATATACTACTGTACAAACTTTTTAAGAGTAAACATAAAGACAAAAGCAACCAGTCCTGTGGCTCAGGCCAGGATGGTTTGTTCTATTAGGAGGGTGACACAATGGGACTCTCTCTTTTTCCCTTCTCTCATGGAAACGTATGCTCTCTCTTTGTTTAGCTTCTCAATCTAAAATAAAAACCACCCCAAAGAGAATTCATGTTTCCATCATTGTTTGGAGAAGACCTGGCCTTTTAGTTGGACAAGCCTTGTGCAGGCAATGCCGCTGGATCAGGCTGTGTCACCTGAGGAAAGACTCCTTTGGAAATGCCCCTGGATGAGAACTGTGCAGTTTGGTGTTTGGTTCCACTTTCCCAGACCCTGCTCTTCTTAGATCAGACATTATCCATTTCACTCTTGAAAGTTACACCAATTGTGTTAGAAATTGCCCTTGGTTTTAGAGATCCAAGATGTACCACAACCTTGGCAAACATATGTGCTCTGCTAAAAGCTACTCAAGCACAAGTACTACCTGCATTACATGACAAATGCACATCACAGTGTCCATTATCCTTGCATTTGAGGTGAGATTTTAAGATTCTGGCAGCCCAGTCTAGCTAATGTATCTGTGCTAAGCAAGATAATGCTGTTACTCTTGATAAATGTAACATGTTCAGCACAACTGACAAATTCTGTTTACTGCTCTGCACACTTGTGGGTAATAAAGACCATTATTTTATTATTTCTTTTTAGATATGATCCCTTAAGAGGTAAAATGGCACAGTGTAAAGCTAAAGCAAACCATTAGATTTATTAAAAGCATTAATGGCTTTGTTACCATTAATTTATTATAAAGAAAAAACCCAAACAACAGATATCAATCCCTGGCTTGGTGCTTTCACCCTTCTTTTTTGGCTCACTGTTTCCACATGGTCACATCAGAGTCTAAGTGATAAATATAACATGTGTATAGAGGAAGGAGATGTGGACAGTAACAAAATGTACAGAAGTTAACTATATGAGCGTAGATACCCTCTTTATTACTTTCCTTTCTGACTAAACAGAGCACGGTTCCAGTTTCTTTCAGGTATCCTGAAATTTTGCATCAATTATAAAATTTTCTGCAATGGAACAGTTATGCCACTGACACCTAAAAGTAAAGATATTCTCTCATTCTCCTCAGACTTGATATCCTCTCCAGCATAACTAATGTCTTTTGGGATTGCTTCCTTACCCATCAGTTACAACTGGGAAAGATTTTGGATTCCAAAAACAGAAAATATTAATCTTTTTTCTATTCTAGAGATATCAAGAAATTTATGAATTATGATCACTTAAATTTAATTTTAACCACTAAACCAGAAAAATATGTTTTCACTATTTATTAATAAAAATACTGCTATCCTAGGAAAATAAAATAAAAGAAAGAAGGAATCCCAAACCACAATATTTCACTTTTCGCAAAATACCTGAAAAACATCTGATTAAATCTGGAATGCTCAATACAACATGAAAGGCAGCTGTGTATGTAACAGCATGCAATATACCTTGTCATAATTTCAGGATAAAAAAGCAGGGATGAACATTGTTACAAGATTCATCTGAGGCACCTGTTGTTAAAACTGAAGCCATAAAAAATTCAGCCAGTACATTCTGAAGATGCTTTACTGAGATGACTTAGAAACCTTCTCCAGACAGAACTGAGTGACTGAAATCCCAATATGCTCCAGAAACAATCATAATAAACTTCCAGTGTCACAATTCCAAAAGAGAATGTGAGGAGAGCTGTTTGTTATGTGCAGAGACTGTGCCAGCATGTGTAAATACAGGCTGTCTAAACCACTGCTACACACCCAAGTTTACAGCTAATTCCATAAAACTAGAAATGCAAACCAAGGTAGAGCTTTTACAGTGTAAGGAATCTAAAAGAAACACAAATTAGAATGTAGGCATAAACTCTGCAGCTTACCCATTCATGTGAATTATTTTAAGTGCCACTGCAATTGAGACATGAAACAGCATAGCATACAAGGGAGAAAGCAGTCAAGAGACAATAAATGCTGGCAATTCAATCAGAACAATTTAGTCCTTTGCCTAGGTCTGCTAGCTCAGAGGGAGGCGACTTGTTGAAATTAAATGCAACTAGCATATCAAAACAAAAAGGAAAAACATACTTTCAAAGAAATTGAATACAAACCATTGGATTAACAGCTCTTCTATAGCAAAACTGAATTATTCATGCAGGTAAAGCTGTTCAGCCTTGCTCTTACCTGGCTAGCTCTTATTCTGGTAGTTGTGTGGCTGTAGCAACAAGAAGCTCAAGGTTTACTAGCTGCTCCAAAGCTCATTCAATTTCTCTGCTGGGTTTTCTGCCTAAGCTGAAATTTTCACCACTGCAGCTGCTACTAAATTACCCTACAGGAATGATGGGTATCACCTGTTGTCAGCACCTGCAAGTACTTAAAACAGATGCAGCAAGAAGACCAAACACATTGTGACAAATGACAGTCTATTTTTGTGCTTCTGTTGACAATAAAACTCATCAAAAAGTTGCAGGGTCGTAATGTTATAAGAGTCCATAAATTCCAAAAGACCTCGACTCCACAATGTGAGCACTGTTGCCAAAACCCAGACGTTTTCCAATATGCTGAATACTTTTACAGATATAGTGTGGATATAAATAGGGTATATTGAATTTTACCTACATGGTCCAGTGAGGATCATCAGAGCAGCTAGTTGGATCAGACACTGTAATTCTGTGAACTCCCCTTTTGGAAACAAAACTGGTACTGTGTCAGCATGTAGGCTGTGAACAAAGCAAAAGATGGAACAATTATTAAAACAGATTACAGAAACATGGGGGAAGCACAGCCATATAAGCTAAAAGGCCTAATTTGGAGGAAGACAAGACAAAAGGTTTTAATATTTTTTATTGCAAAATAATACTGTTTGTTGTTTTCTTTTTTTTTTTTTCTTCACAAACTGAGAGACCTATTTGGAAATAGAGCAACTCAAGCACAAATTTATCACAGAGAGATGTGGGGCAGTGGTAATAACATGGTACTGACAGGCCTTTGGGCTGCTCACTCTTATCTCCAAAGGGCTATGTATGATCACAGTATTTTCAGATGATTTTGTTTTTCAAACCTGGTGACCAAACTGGAGTAAAGACAACAGTTTCTCCAATATAGTATGAACAGTCATAGAATCACAGAATACAAGGTTGGACCTTTCTTGGCAAAAGCACAATCTTGATAAGATAACACAGCAAACTGTCCAGCTGAATCTTAAAATGATCAGTTCTAGGGGATCCACCACTTTCCTAGGGAGCTTATTATTGTAAGGCTGCAGCAGCAAGCAAACTCGTGTAGCTTGTGTCTGAAAATGGACACCTCCAGCACAGAGGAATGATGAGCCTATTCAGACCAAGGAGCAGGTCACCCCAAAGGTAGCATTAAGAACTGGGGTCTCCTTTTCTTCCCCAAATCATGCAACCTTTCAAGCTAACCACTTTAGAAAGTTGGTCTGGAATATAATTTTTCAGGTAAAAAATGTAACAGAGGAAGCAAAAATACTAATAATTAAAACCTAAATAAAACATTTTCCTCTGCAGAAGTTGTAAATTTCTGAATTCAGAAGCAGAGGAGAAAGACTGACTGACCACCATTTCATTACGTATAATTAGGGCCAAGTAGAACCATGTGCCATTATTATCCCATTTATTGCCTGCCATTGCAATCTAAGGCTTCCAGACCCCTCTGAATAACTTAAGAGTGAATCTAATCAAGATGTTTCACAGTTTCTTAGCGTCTCTTACCAGGATGCCAAGGGATTTTACTCCCAGGTGTTTTAAAAAGGAGGCAACAGACCAGAGAAGGAATATATTCACTACGCTGCATGTTCAGTTTCTCAGGAAAAAAAACCAAAACTCAACAGCAACAGCAAGGGTGAGGGTACTAACAAATCTCAGAGTATATTCCAGTTAATGTTCCGAAGGGAAGAAAACACACATTCACCACCCTTGTACATTGCTGCATGCCAGCCCAGCACTTGTAACACAGGTCTGATATGCCTTCAACCATGAAGGTCTCCCCCTCCCCTGGTAAAACACCCTCCTGGAAGAAAGCTGCTCCCTCCACTAACCCTGTGCTGCCAAGAAGGGCAATGAGTTGGAGTGGAAGCCAATCTGGACACCCCCTTGAACCAAATGAACACAAGAGGGGCAGTATTTGAATGAATGAAAAGAAAGGAAACAAATCAGATTAAATACGTCCAGAACTTCCATCGTTTGTCTTAAAAGGAGTGCAAAGCAATTCCTAAGTGGACATGTCAGTGTGGCAACCCTTTCATCGATCCTCTCAGCCCAGGATCGATGTTTAGATGAGAGACTATCACTGCAAACACACTTCCTGAAACATTTTTTTCCCTAGGCATTTCTCGGCCTAGCCATTACACCACTAAAATGCTCTGTTCCCACCACTGCTCCCAGGCTGACCACGCACAGGGAGCACAGCACAAGGAAGCGTGTCTGCACCAAGGGTCACGTGGCAAAGAAGGCAAAATCTCAAAGAGAGAGGCAAAGAGCAGCCAGGGAGACGATGTTCATCATCAACCCCCTCCCACCTGAGAGGGTTTGCACTCTGTAAAGCTCTGCAAAGGATCTCACGGAGCCCTCGGTGCTAAAGCTCGATCCTTTTGAACAGGAAGGAAGGTTCCAGACTTCTCAAGACAGCAGTTCTGATTTTAGTACTTCATTCCAGCAACGCAGCTGTAATAATTCATTCATGAAGTATAACTACAATTTACATGGCACATACCAAATTTTGTTTAATTGAAGTCCCTAGAGGTCCTTAGTGGAATGTTTACAGTGTCAACAATGTGAAACAACAATGTGAATTGCTCTTAAAATACTTGAATGTTTAAAAATTAATTGATGCATTTTTTTTAATTCACACAGTATAAATGTTAAAAAAAACTTCTTATTTACACTATCAATGCAGAAAAATAACTTAAACTGCTACATGATGAAAGTCAGTTTTAAATAACTTGCAAACTTTTAAGACTGCAAAACAATTGAAAAGAGAAGCCTTTTTTAGTTAGCTGAGCCTCCTTTTAGTTGAGGAAATTAAGTTAGGAAATTAAAATTTGAATTTTGATAATTCCCCTCTTATCAATTTATTATGCTTTTAGTTAGAAAAAAACCTAATTTGTTATTAAATTAGCTTCTCAAGCTATTTTCAGTTTTAAAAAAATCCATCCCAATAATTTTAGTTTTGTGCCATTACTACCAAGATTCCATTTTTACCCTCCTAATAATGCAGGCTGTGACTCAGAGCTTTGGAATTCATTGCCTTAATTTACAATAAACTAAGTGGTCTCACGTTAGCTCGTGCTGTTTTTATATTCAGCTACAAAGGGAATACACTCTGCTCTTGGTGGAACAGCGACCAAGGCCCATTGACAATCCAGCTTGTGCAGAGCATCAAGCTCCAGTTAAACAACCCTGTCAACAAAGCCCCATGCTAGATATCAGCATGAACCCTGGACTTATTGAAACCACCATCAGCTACCTCTAATTTCATGTACTATGTCTGTGCTAGAAAATTCAATTTGAGGGGTGCTCCTAGGCATTGGCACCCAAACTCTGCCACGAAAGCGTGAGCAGGGCTTTAGCTTGGATGTGGTCTGGGAGGCAGCACTGCCAAGGAATTTGTGTTAAGCTCTGCATACATGGGCACACTCCGAAGAGGAGAGCACTGAAATTTGTGGCATCACAAATACAGCTGTTATTTCAATACCAAAAAAACCCCAAACTGTAGTCAGGACACGCAGGCACCCGGTGTTCCAGGTACAGAACTGAAAATCACATTTTATGACTTGTACAATTCCTTTCCTATATTCATGAGGATCCCTACTTAAAACAAGAAGAGACTCTGTATGCTGCCTTTACCTTTTAATTTATCTTTGATAAAATCTCACTTTTATCAATTTATTTTTGATAAAATCTCACTTTGATAAAATCTCACTTTTTTCTGACTAGAATGTCAGAAAGGCCCCTAAATAAGAGAAGTATGTTTTTTTTTAAAAGCAAAACTATGGATACAGTAATTTCTGTCCTGTTTATTTGAGAAGACAAATTTTCATGCATTGACTCTTCACTTAGAAAATTAGTTCCCATGTTTCACCAAGTAAGAAGTTCCTCTCTATGAAAAATAAAATTCACAGACTGGGAAAACTTTATACATAATAAGGTAAGTATTTCACATGAGTGTGTATCAAGAGAGATAAAGTGATCTCACGTGTTGCAATCTTTTAAATGAATTATGTTCAATTTTTGCCTTGTTGTGAGGATAAAAAAAGGTCTCAAAAATGTGAGCTTGTTACATATTTTTATGTTCTTGCTGAAAAAACCTATTAAAAATCAACACTTTTACACATGACTTTTTTTTCAAGCTCAAAAACACCTACAGTGGTATCTAAATAGATAAAAAGCATTTTAATAGTTGAATGACTATGAATAATAATGAATATGATTCTGATGCCAAAAAAAAAAAGTCAGAAAAGAGGCAGTTTCTGTTTCCAATGGATTTTAAAGAGCAGAAAATATTTTTATTCTTAAGCTTCAGACGCAAAATGTCTGCAAGATGGAAGAAGCATCTCTCCCTTGTGCTTCTTTCAGTGGATCTCATTAGACAGAGGTTAGGATCATTCTGGACCAAGACAATATCAAAGACAAATCGTAAAAGATTGCAACTGCAATATTTGTACACTTGAAAAGTGCCTCCCCTGTGACATGACAAAAAAATGTGCAACACATAGGTCATAACAGAATTTCTTTGCAGGGACAAATTCAATATGAGAAATTCATCCAACTTGTTCCACCTATATTTATTCATGATGGCTAAAACCAATCATTTTATGCTCCTTTTGTTCAGTTCAATAGAGGTAAAAACTAATGATTAACAACGTGATTTAGGACAATGGAATTGATGAAGACACATCAATTCACGGTACTGTCTTAGCCAACTCTTCCAGTTGCTGAAGAACTAGAAGCCTTTATTTTAGTTTGAAGTTCTGAGGAGTATGGTAAAACAAAACCCAAACATTTCAGATATGATTTTAGTTTGGTAGTCTCATAGCTCAAAAATTGTTCAATCTAGACATATCACATTTGTTTCACTCTAGAATAGTGACTTCAGTGTTTTATTGACAAAGCTGAGTGCCTATTATGGAAATACTCAGTTAGGACTGCTCATCATAAAGGTGTTCAACTAAGTTCAGTTCACATACAAAGCATCTCAGAAGTGCACTAAAGTGTCTGAATAATCAGTAGAATAAACAGCTAGGAAAAAGGAAAACATCAGGAGAAATACACTAGGAGAATACTTCAACATAACTGTTCTATTGCTTATATTTTCTACATAGCTGGCATATAACCCCAAAAGCTTTTTAAAATTTGCGAAGTGAATAGACTCTCTCTTTGATTGTTGTTCCTTCAGGTGCTTACTGATACCTGACTACTAATGTCTCTAACAAGATTATAATTTTACACTGAAATCTTTTAAATGTCATGTATAATTTTATATGACACTAAGAGATAATAATGGTTAAACGGACCAAAACAGGAAGCTCACTATTTGGTATACAGTTATCAGCATTAATAATTTAGTAAGTGGTTCCACTTAACTTTAGATATCTTTGCAGTCACAGGCATCTATCCCTGAGCTGTACACGCTGCATAGTCAACACAAGAAAAGCTACCACACCAAAGAACCATTTAATAGAGCTGATGTGTTTTATTTGTTG